AAAAAAAAAAAAAAAATGAAAAATGAAAATAGAAAAAATAACAAGAAAATGAGGTAAATTTCTGAAAAAAAAAATCAATGATGATAATTTCATCTTCTTTTTCTGTTTTTTCTTTTTTTCTCATCATCATCTTCATTGTGAAAGTATTTTTGAGACAAAAATGACTTTTAGGACACTTTATCTATCAGAAACCTAAACCCTATTTACATTAGTACCGTGCTGGAATGTTGCTTAAACATACAGACACACAGACTCACACACCACCACCATCATCAGCGTCATCACCAACATCACCATCACCACCACTTAAATACTTACTTAATCACTTTTCTACAACAATCAAATAGTTTTTGGCTTTTTTTTTGGTTCATCAAATCTTTTCAGTAAAATGGTACTCATTTTCTTCTTCTTGCTTTTTTCTTCAATTTTTTACTTTTAAGACAACAAAGAAAAAGAAAATTGTGGTAAATGAAAATGAGGAAAAAATAGTAATGAAGAATAAAACTCTCACTATTTTATCTGAGGTAAATTGATGATGAAAAATATCATCAACTACAAATTTTGTTTCATCCTTTTATTTTGTTTCATGTCAATACCGTTTTATCTAAATAAACCCCGTAGACAAACCGAAGTCAACAAAAAATAAATGCCAAAACATAAAAAAAGTATTAAGAATAGTTGCCTGCTCCTTCTTCCCCTCCTCCCCCTCGTACCCCAGTTTTCACTTTGCTTCTTATTTTTTTTCATTCTTCTTTTTTCCTGCACATCAATCATTTTCAGACAAATTTATTTCGTTTTCATTATTTTCTTTTTACTAAATATAAAAAATATTAACGATTTTTTTTAGTTTAAATCTCAATTTTTTCTGAAATAGCGTAGTAATGAAAACAACAGGCTACTTTCATTTTTCAACAATACTGTCAACTTAGAGAAAATAAAGCATGATGTTTGAGAAAAATACTTTCTTTTTTCAAACTTTTTACCATCTGAAAACAGAAAATGGCTTTTTCAACAATCTTATAAATGCGTTTACTAATCCAGTAATATTACAGTGAATTTAAAATTAATTTGGCTTCTGTCAAATGTGATAAAAATATTATTTTTCAGTAAAGACTCGATTACACATTTTCTCAAAGTATTACACTAAAAAAGCAATAAAAAGACAATAAAAAGCAAAAAAAAAATTTTTGTTTCGAAATCTGAAAGGCTAAGATGCCGAAAAAGGCATCCGTTTAGAAGCTCGGCTACTAGACAGAATGAAGCTTTCAGTTTGCAAGCATAAATTTTGTTTGGAATCAAACAAGAAGCTGAACAATGCCAGCAGAGGTTTTTCAGAGAATAATAACATCAACTTCGCCACTTTTCTTCAATCTTATTTTTTTTCTTCTTGCATCACTTCGTTTCACTTATACTAAAAAACGATTTTGATTTGTATCCACAATCTTGAGAAAAAAAAAAAAGAACAAAAACAGAATAGACACGTTGCTTTTTTTTTCCCCTACACATTCTAAAACTCTTAAATGGAAAAAAATAACTGGTTTAAAAACTTGGTTTTGAAGTGCACAAAATCTTCAGTTTTTTTTTGTCTTTTAACTACTTTGTTTTTTCGAGCCTTATTCACACCCTTTAATGAACAGTATTCTTATTGTCTTCAAACACTTACAGTATTTTAATGACGCTATTTGCTGCTCATTGCTTCAGAACAG